CACTGTCAGAGGGTCAGTGCAGAGGGAGCGCCGCGCTGTCGGAGGGTCAGTGCTGAGGCCGGAGAGAATTTCCCTTCAGCCCCTCATTGGCCTCCTCAAACTGTCTGTCTGTCTGGCAGCATGTGTCCCACTGACCTGAGACATTCCCAACCTTCTGCATCTCATCCCTTGGTCTGTTTCAGGGACTCGCTCTGCCTCCAGGCAGGACTTGTGGGATCTCGCTGTGCGTCTGAGAATGGTTATCAACCCCAGGCATCTTGAGGCGGACGTGGGGGGTAGTGTGCCCGAGGGGTTAGGATTCCTGGGGGACAATGATAGACCCTCAGTCTCTTCTGATCGTGTTTGAACCGTCTGTTCCTCCCGGTTTTCTCTTCACAGAGATGGGTTCCCAGTCGGAATGTTTCCGGAAGCTTTCTCTCCTCCTCTACCTCGGAATTCAGGGTAAGCGACAATCCAGGAAATTGCAAGTCAGCCATTCGGCCCTCCCTGCCTGCTGTGTACACAGAGAACAGCAGGAGGCCATTCGGCCCCTCTCCATACTGTGCCACAGGAACACGGGGAGGCCATTCAGCCCCTTTACCATCCTGTTAAACAGAGAATTAAGACACTTCTCCAGCTTGTTACACTGGACCATGAGTCCATCAAATTCCTCCCAAGGTTATGACACATCTACTGACTTTCACGTCTCTCCCTTTCACACTCAGTCCATCTCTCTCTCTCTCCCTAATTCTGACTTGATTCCTATTTCTCCAATTCTCTGTTTTTCTCTCTTCAGTCTTCCATCAGTCATCATGTTTATCTCTCTCTCCCTGTGTTGCTCTATCCCTCAGGCTTCATTCCTCTTTTGGTCTGTTTTTCTCTCTCTCCCTCTCTCTTTCTGTGTCTCCGGCTGCCTCTCCGTCTCTCTCATAGAGACCTACAGCTACACAGCACGGAAACAGACCCTTCGGTCCAACTTGTCCATGCTGACCCAATATCCGGAATTAATCAGGTCGTTTTGAGCAACTCCTGTGGAGAGATCAAGTCAGTCACATCAAATGAACAAAAGGAAATTGAGTCAACGACACCAGGACAGTACATGGTCACAGCGAGTTCCTCTGTCTGAAAATAACAAGAGGTTTCATGGAGTAAATATTAACCGAAAGGTTCAATTCCAGGGTTGAACTCAAAGGGTTAGATACAGAGTAAAGCTCCCTCTACCCTGTCCCCCCCAATCAAACAGTCCCAGGACAGGGACAGCACAGGGTTAGATACAGATTAAAGCTCCTTCTACACTGTCCCCCATCAAACACTCCCAGGACAGGGACAGCACGGGGTTAGATACAGAGTAAAGCTCTCTCTACACTGTCCCCCATCAAACACTCCCAGGGACAGGGACAGCACGGGGTTAGATACAGCGTAAAGCTCCCTCTACACTGTCGCCATCAAACATTCCCAGGGACAGGGACAGCACGGGGTTAGATACAGTAAAGCCAGACCCACCTTCTCGATTCGGAAAGATTTGATCTGTCCTGTGTGTCTGATGTGAGGTCCCCGACACAGATCCACCAGCGAGCCACACCTGTTGGTGAGAGAAGCCCGAGGTTACTGATCAGGACGGGGTGTATCCGCACTAACAGGGGCCCAGAGCTGATTAAAACTCCGCAGTGCCTATACCCCAGTCCCAAGGCACAAGTCAGGAGGGTGAGGGAATACTCCCCACTTGCCCTGGATGGGGGCAGCTCCGACAACACTTGGGCAGCTCAACACCATCCAGGAGCCTCTTGCTCGGCATCACCGTACTGTTTGTCTCTGTTCGCTCGGCCTGGAGAGCTCACAACTCTCCAACTCTGGCTCACTGGAAACTTCAGGAGCTACTGTTAACTCTTGCTAAGCAGAGGGGTCGGCAGGGACAGAAAGGTGAGGTTGGTGACAACGTGGGCGTTTTTATGAATTGTAGAATCCCAACGGTGTGGAAGCAGGCCATTCGACCCATCGAGTCTGCACCAGCCCTCTGAAGAGCATTCCACCCAGACCAAAACCTTATTCCATCCCCGTAATCCTGCATTTCCCACGGCCAACCCAACCTCACCTGCACATCCCTGGGCACTACGGGACAATTTAGCACGGCCAATCCACCCTAACCCCCACATCCCTGGGCACTACGGGACAAGTTAGCACGGCCAATCCACCGTAACCCCCACATCCCTGGGCACTACGGGACAATTTAGCATGGCCAATCCACCCTAACCCACACATCCCTGGGCACTACGG